TTATAAGTTGATCTCATGTATAATTTGAACACAGATTTGGGGGCCAAAATAATGGATTTTGGCATGACCTATAACTCTGTTGAGGGTACAATTTTGGAGCTTATTACAGGACTCATCAAGATCTCCATCAGAAAGTAGGCAAAAGATGAAAAATCAGTAATCTCATGAGCCACTGCAGGGATGGTGGTGGGGGTTAAGCTGAAATGTAAGTGAAGAAATACAATTGGTGTCAAGGGATATTTCACTGAAGGGAAATAATTTCTCATCTTTTGCCTGCCTCCTCCTGCTGCACTTTGCTAACCCCCACCACCACATGGTTTGCAGCTAACTACTCTTCTCTTCTCTTCTCTTCTCTTCTCTTCTCTTCTCTTCTCTTCTCTTCTCTTCTCTTCTCTTCCTGCCCAACTTCTCTCAAGAAGCAAGCAAGCAGGCTGGCTGGCTGTGAAGTAAAGCTAGAGAAGTTACGCAAAATATTAGAAATCTTTTGAGTGGATGTCAAAGAATCCATTGGGAAAAACCCATTTAACTGACACCTCAGCTCTTCCTGCCAAGAAAGGTTGTTGCTGTTGTTGTTTATTCGTTCAGTTGCTTCTGACTCTTTGGGACCTCATGGATCAGCCCATGCCAGATCTCCTTGTTGGCCGTCACCACCCCCAGCTCCTTCAGAGTCAAGCCAGTCACTTCAAGGATACCATCCATCCATCTTGCCCCCTCGTCGGCCCTTCTTCTTTTTCCTTCCATTTTCCCAAGCATCATTGTTTTCTCCAAGCTCTCCTGTCTTCTCATGATGTGGTCAAAGTACTTCATCTTTGCCTCTAATATCCTTCCCTCCAATGAGCTTTATTTCCTGAAGTATGGATTGGTTGGATCTTCTCACGCTCCAAGGCACTCTCAGAATTTTCCTCCTGCACCACAGTTTGAAAGGATCTATCTTCCTTTGCTCAGCCTTCCTTATGCTCCAGCTCTCACATCCATAGGTTACTACAGGGTATACCGTTGCTTTGACTACGCAGATCTTCGTTGCCAGTGTGATGTCTCTACTCTTCACTATTTTATCGAGATTGGTCATTGCTCTCCTCCCAAGAAGAAAACATCTTCTAATTTCCTGACTGCAGTCTGCGTCTGCAGTAATCTTCACTCCTAGAAATACAAAGTCTGTCACTGCCTCCACGTTTCCTCTCTCTCTTTGCCAGTTATCAATCAGTCTGGTTGCCATAATCTTTGTTTTTTTATGTTTAACTGCCACCCATCTTTTGCACTTTCTTCTTTCACCTCGGTTAGAAGGCTCCTCAGCTCCTCCTCGCTTTCGGCCTTCAAAGTGGTATCATCTGCATATCTAAGGTTGTTAATGTTTCTTCCAGCAATTTTAACTCCAGCCTTGGACTCGTCAAGCCCCGTACATCGCATGATGTGTTCTGCATACAAGTTGAATAGTTTAGGTGAGGGTATACAACCCTGCCGTACGCCTTTCCCAATCTTGAACCAGTCTGTTGTTCCATGGTCAGTTCTTACTGTTGCTACTTGGTCCTTATACAGATTCCTCAGGAGACAGACAAGGTGATTGTTAATGTCAAAAAGCTTCTGCTGGCATTCAAAAGAGTCAGAAGTGGGTTTAGGGCACACATAGGTAGCATTTTAACCTGCATACAAGTTAACTACTGTTTTGGGAGTCAATCCTTTGACATTATTATTATTTACTAGCTGTCTCCTGCCACGTGATGCTGTGGCCCAGTCTGTGTATATGTGTTTTGTATGTGTATATGTGTATGTATATACTTGTGTATACATGTATATATATGGTTTTGCACATGCATTGTAATGTATTTTTTATTTTTTGGCTTTTAAAGTCTCTTCTGCTGTGTTTTTCAGTGTTTTTATGAGTGATGGCCATTTGTTGGCCTGATAGGTGAATTGTGTCCAAATTTGGTGTCAATTCGCCCAGTGGTTTTTGTGTTATGTTAATCCCATAAACAAACATTACATTTTTTATTTATATAGATTTATACATGATTATATATTGTAAGAAGCAATCATTAATACAAAAGCTTACAAATTGTTAAGTTGTGATAACAGTTCCAGATTCATGCTGAAAATACCTAGAGAGGATTATTTTATTTCACCCAGGCAATCAAAGCACTCCCAATAAATGGCCATCAAGCCTCTGCTTAAAAACCTCCAGAGACGAAGACTTCACTACCCTCCAAGACAGTATATTCCACTGCCAAACAGCTCTTACTGTCATTCTTCCTAATGCTTAGCAGAATTTAATATTTAGATGATATGAAACAACTTGATCTTATTGTTTCATTTTACATGTGCATACTGTTAGTTTTAAGTTTTAAAATATCCAACTTCCTTTTATGTGATTGGACAATATTCTTATTTTTTCACATTAACACCTGGTTCAAGTACCAAATTTTCTTCCTGGGAGCAGAACTACTTGGTTAATTGTGGTGTTCTTGTACCCAGATATGCTTGTTACTTCTGTACCGTTCTTTTATTCCAAGAAATAAAAGGCCTACTTTGTAAAGTGAGGTAAGTCTGTCATTTCTGCAACTGTCTGTTCTGTATATAGAACCTGTAATTTGGTGTATAACTGTTAGGGTTTACTCCTTATCACATCCTTCAATCATTTCTCATGACAGTTCCTGGAAATAAACAACTTGGTCTTTTTCTTCTTGACAATGAAGATCTTCTTTCCTCTGACTTTAAAAGCAACTGCTTCAAAGAAAAGTTTACTGAAGGGAAATCACTTTTTCTAGATGTAACTGTGCCTGTTCTGAGAATAAATCTGAACTTAGCATCTAGTATTGGAACTTTCTCTTTTTACTAAGATGATTCACCAACAATATAGGTTTCACACCTTTTTCTGTTAGGTTTCTGGTCTTCTAACAGCTGAATGATAGGAAATAGTTATTTCCGAGCTCTATTTCTTCATGCATTTAAAAACAACGCGTCTTCATCTTTCCCATGAAGATTCCTGAAAGATGCCTTATATCAGGTCAGATTTCTTTCCTTCATGTAGCTCAGGGTGGGCAACTTGTGCCTCTCCAGATGGTCTACAACTCTCTTAAACCCTACCTAGCATTGTCATTATCCCAGGATCTGATCCCATGTTTTCTGTTTATCCCATATTATGTCAGCATGGACTCATATAATCTAGTTTAAAGCAGAAAATCTGGGATCAGATCCTGGGAGATAAAGCCTTTTTGGAAGAGCTCCCAGTTCAAAGCAGATATTGTGGATTATCTGGGGCCCCTTCCACACAGCTGAATAAAATCCCAATTTATTTATTTACGATATTTATAGCCCGCCTTTCTCAGCCATACGGTGACTCAAGGCGGGTTACAGATTGCCACAATTCGATGTCAGGAATTCACAAAAGTGCCATTAAAACAATCAACATTACAATATAAAACATAAATAAAAACAGTTAAAGCATATAATCATCGGTGTCATCTTGTTAAAAATGTTATCCAGTAACATTGTCTGGCCATTCCATGTTCATCATTCATAGTTCCGTGTTATCTATTCTCAAAAGCTTTCTCAAAGAGTTAGGTCTTTATTGTTTTTGGAAAGCCAGGAGGGAGGGGGCTGATCTAATATCCCTGGGGAGGGATTTCCATAGCCGGGGGCCACCACTGAGAATTTATTTATTTATTTATTTATTTACAGCTTTTATATTCCGCCCTTCTCACCCCACAGGGGACTCAGGGCGGATTACAGTGTACACATATATGGCAAACATTCAATGCCAATTTTTGACATACAAACATATACAGGCATAGACAGAGGCTATTTAACTTTTTCTGGCCGCCAGGGGAGCTGTCGCTTTCATCATCCATCTGCGACGCTGATGAAGTACTTCCGCATTCCCCGCATGCTTCCCCGCTGGAATGCTTTGCTGGAGTCTTCTTTATGGCCTCATAAATCAGTTAATTTAGCCTCCCCACACTTTAAGGTGGTACCTTATTTTCCTACTTGACAGATGCAACTGTCTTTCGGGTTGCAAAGGTCGACAACAGGCTACACACAATTGGTTGGAAACCCACTCCAACCCGGCTGGCTTCGAACTCATGACCTTTTTGGTCAGAGTGATCTTAATGCAGCTGACACTCAGCCAGCTGCGCCACAATCCTGCTGCTGTCCTTCATCTCTGCCGATTGCACTTGCGAGGCAGGTGGGATTGAGAGCAGGGCCTTCCCAGACGATCATAAGCTCCTAGATGGTTCATAGGAGATACATTTGGACAGGTAAGCTGGGCTGGAATTGTTTAGGGCCGTATAGGCTTTGAACTGGAATATATGGCAATGTGGACTCAACCCAGCTCAAAGCAGGTATTGTGGGATTTTCTGCCTTAATATTCTGGGTTACATGGCTGTGTGGAAGGGTCTTAGTTCAGTCTCCTGTGGGGACAGTTCTGTGGTGTGTGTGGATAGTGGGGGCTCCAGCTGCGTTTCTGTGGGTAAGGAGAGGAATCCTTCCAACTCACAGAGGGCCCTTTCCACACAGTTGAATAAAATCCCACCTTATCTCCTTTGAACTGGGAGAATTGGAATATATGGCAGTGTGGACTCAAATAACCCAGTTCAAAGCAGATATTGTGAGATTTTCTGCCTTGATATTCTGGGATATATGACTGTGTAGAAGGGCTTCATTCCCAAAAGGCGTCAGGCCTTCAGTAGCGCAAAGAGGTCCCTCGCCGTGTCCTCAAAGGGGGCCCCGTTAGGGTCTAGTGGAGTCACGTGACGTGGAGGCGCGCGCCGTCCTCGCGCAGCTAGGATTCCCGCCTTGGGCACGCGCGCGCCGCTAGAGGGGCTTCTGAAGATGAAGTTAAGAGGCTCAAACTTCCCGGCCACTTCTTCTCTTTCGGAGTGGGCGGAGCTTAGGGCTCCCCGGAGGCGTGGCTTTTGGAAAGGGAAGGACGCGATTGGCTGCCCCGCGGGGCTGAGTTGATAAATGTGGCAGCGGGGCGGCGGCGGGTCTCACCGGCCGGGAGAGCTGCTCGGCGGAGCCCCCGGAGATGCGACGCGCCAGCCGAGACTACTCCAAGTACTTGCGCGGCGCCGAAGAACTGGGCGGCGGCGGCCCCCACGAGAGCGCCCCGCCGACGCCCCCGGGCCCAGGCGGGGCGGCCCCGCAGTCCCACCCCGCGCCCGCCGCCTCCAGGACCCTCCTGGCCGCCCTGGCCGTGCTCGGGCTGGGACAGGTCCTCTGCAGCCTCGCCCTCTTCCTCTACTTCCGAGGCCAGGTAAGCGCTTCCCCACTGAGCGCGCGGCTCATGCCTCCCTCCGCGTGGCTTCTAGGGAACTGGAGTTATTCCACAGGTATACTAATTACACCTTAGCTGCCTCAGGTCTTTCTTGTCGCGACAGATTTGGTTTGGTTTTGGATTTTAGGAACACATCTCTCTTTCCAAATGTAGGACCAAACTTGGCACACATATCCATAAAATTTTCAGAATTTTATGGATATGTGTGCCAAGTTTGGTCCACATCCATCACACTATGTAACATTGGAACTTTTTTTTTTCTGTTCCTGGTTTGAAGGTGTTATTTCCTGTTTAATTGTGTGGGATTTACTTGGAAAGTAGTTTATTTCTTATTTCCTAACCGTCCCCTGCCACGCGTTGCTGTGGCCCAGTCTGGTGATCTGGAAAATAAAGTAATGGTTTCTAATATATGCAATTCCTTTCTGCTTGTGGGTAAACAGTATTCCTTGTTGTTTCTATGACAGTGTTGATGTGGAGAGTGTCCAGTTTTCTTGCTCTGGAATATGCAACATATAATTGTCCTTCTTTAGGGGTCCCTTTCAAATCGATGATACTATATCTCTCTGTGTGTGAATCATATATATCTATATATATCTATGGCTGGATGGCTCTTTGTCAGGAGGGCTTTGATTAGTTTTCTTGCCCTGGTGAAGGGAGTTGGACTGGATGGCCTTAAGTATTTTCTGTTGGTCATGGGAGTCCTGCGTGTCACCTTTGGTTCAATTCCATCATTGGTGGAGTTCAGAATGCTCTTTGATTGTAGGTGTACTATAAATCCCAGCAATGACAACTCCCAAATGACAAAATCATTGTGTGGGAAGTTTGCCCCAATTCTGTTGTTAGTGGGGTTCAGCATGCTCTTTGATTGTAGGTGTACTATAAATCCCAGCAATGACGACTCCCAAATGACAAAATCATTGTGTGGGAAGTTTGCCCCAATTCTGTTGTTAGTGGGGTTCAGCATGCTCTTTGATTGTAGGTGAAATATAAATCCAGCTCCCAAAATGTCAAGGTCTACAGCTCCCAAATGTCAAGGTCTATTTCCCCCAAACTCCATCTGTATTCATATTTGGGCATATAGGATATTCGTGCCAAGGATGGTCCAGATCCATCATAGTTTGAGTCTGGATGGAGGTGAACTACAACTCCCAAACTCAAGGTCAATGCCCACCAAACCCTTCTAGTATTTTCTGTTGGCCAGAGGAGTTCTGTGTCCCAAGATTGATTCAATTCCATCATTGGTGGAGTTCAGAATGCTCTTTGATTGTAGTTGTACTATAAATCCCAGCAATTACAACTTCCAAATGACAAAATCAATTTTTTGAGTGAAGGACATACATTGGGTTGTTAGGTGTATTGTGTCCAAATTTGGTGTCAATTCGCCTAGTGGTTTTTGAGTTCTGTTAATCCCACAAACGAACATTACATTTTTATTTATATAGATTCCCATCCAAACCCAAGTAACCAAGGTGGAGGCATTACTTTTCATTCAACCCATTTATTTCATGCATTTCTACTCCACCCTTTTCCCCCCAAAGGGGGACTCAGGGCGACCTCACGTAAGCATCCAATGATGCCATCAGCATATAAACAATCAAAATTACATTTAAAACATTAAAAATAATTTTAAAACCACATTATACAATTCATTAAACAATAATTTAAACATGCCAATTAAAACCAAATCCAGGTCAGGGTAGATCCAAAGTCGGAGATATTCTAAGTTTCTTTCCAATTGCCAGTTGTGATACTCCACAAACTCACATAACACTATGTAATAAAATTTGAAAATAAATTCTGTTCCTTGTTTGAAAATATTATTCACTGTTTAATTGTGTGGCACTTCCTTGGAAAAAAGTTGTCCTACTCCAGAAACTTTGTTTTTGTGGCTGCCACAAACTATGTTGAATAGGTTGAGGCTCGATGAGATATTTATTGAAATGCTATAGCAAAATGTGGTGCAGGATGTCCCACCAAAACAAGAGTGTTTGCAGTTTAATAAACCTTTTCCATGTTTTTATGAAAGAAAAAATTAGGAAATGACATTTATAACCCAGGAACAAATATCGTATTGCATAGTGTCATTGGTGGGGTTCACAATCCTCTTTGGTCCATCCTCTCCAAACCCTGCGAGTATTTTCTGTTGGTTATGGGATGTGTCTGTCTGTATGCCAAGTTTGATACTTTTATTATATACACAGAGAGACATGGATAGATGTCTACGTGTGTTTGTGTGTGTTGTCAAAGGTCCACTTGTATTAAACTCGGATTGCACTATGTAGCACATTTTTTGTTCCTGGCTTATTGGTGTCATTTCCTAATTGGTTCTGTCATTAAAACATGGGGAAAGTGTATTAAACTGCAAAAACCTTTTTTTTTGCAGGACATCTTGCAGCACATTTTGCCATAATTTTCCAATGAATATCTCAACCCATTCAACATAGTTTTTGGCAGCCACAATAACAAAGTTTCTGGAGTATAACAACTACTTTCAAAGTAAGGACCACACAATTAAACAGTAAATAACACTTTCAAATCAGGAACAGTCCCCCCCCCCACCCCCCAAATTTTGTTGCATAGTGTTGTTTTTAAYTGRGGCCACTTTTCCAGCCACAGACTGTTGTTTATTGGAGTCGTAGAGTCTTGGCATCCCAGTTGTTTGGGCAAGTTCTTTGCACCAGATCAGTCACCGAGAGGCTCCAAATTAGCACAGAACTAAATGAGGTGGGCCATGTGCACGTGGCAGTATTATTCAGCAGGTTCGCAATTGGACTGGTAGGGAACAACTCTCACAGTCAGGAAGTTCTTCCTGATGTTCAGGTGGAATCTTCTTTCCTATAGTTTGAAGCCATTGCTCTGCACCCCAATCTCCAGGGCAGCAGAAAACAAGCCTCCTCCCTCCTCCCTATGACTTCTCCTCACATCTTTATACATACATGGCCCTCATCATATCTCCTCTCAGCCTTCTCTTCTTCAGGCGAAACAGGCCCATCTCTTTAAGTCACTCCTCATAGGGCTTGTTCTCCAGACCACTGATCATTTTAGTTGTCATCCTCTGGACACATTCCTGTTTGTCAACACCTCCCTTCAATTGCGGTGCCCAGAATTGGACACAGTGTGATTCCAGGTGTGGTCTGACCAAGGCAGAATAGAAGGGTAGTAGCATGACTTCCCTGGATCTAAACACTAGACTTCTATTTATGCAGGCCAAAATCCCATATATATCAAAATAGGGATTACATCCCAGATATAGAGGGAACAACCTTAATACAGACAAGAAATGGAATGAATGCAATGCTTTGAGAAATATCTCTCAAATATTTACTTTCCAGTAACATTTATATCAGGAGTCCCTGGTGGCGCAGTGGATTAAAGCGCTGAGCTTGCTGACTGAAAGGTCGCAGGTTCGAATCCGGGGAGCGGCGTGAGCTTCTGCTGCCAGCCCCAGCTTCTGCCAACCTAGCAGTTCAAAACATGCAAATGTGAGTAGATTAATAGGTACCGCTCCGGCGGGAAGGTAACAGCACTCCATGCAATCATGCTGGCCACATGACCTTGGAGGTGTCTATGGACAATGCCAGCTCTTCGGCTAAGAAATGGAGATGAGCACCACATCCCAGAGTCAGACACGACTGGACTTAATGTCAGGGGAAAACCTTTACCTAACATTTATATCCCACCTTTCCTTTGGTGAGCTCAAGGTAGTGTGCATGGCTCTTTCCCTCTCCATTTTGTAGTAACAACACTGTGAGTTTTAGAGAGAGAAAGCAACACACAATTGCCTCAACATCCAAGGGGCTCGTCACATTCAGTATTACGCCAGACAGACTCTGAAGCTTTGTCTCTCAAACGTGGCAAAAAACTCCCGAGATGCTGTTGCTTTTCTCGATTGAGGGATGCCAACCATGTCTTGTTATCTCATTTTTGCAAAAGAAACCCCAAGTCCAGCTGGCCACAGACATCACAGAACGAAATAAGTTTGTGTTGGAGGCTTCACAACATATATTATATCTGAATTGCTGGGGCAAAGGATTGGAGGGAGGAGTCCGCCAATAGTGTGGTTTATGCATTGGGACTGAAAGGAATTGTTTTTTTCCTTGAAAATTACCCTGTTCATTGGCTGAGTTGGCTTTTGTTATTGCTTTGGTTAAGTGCTCTGAACTTTCTTAAAGGAAGCGGGAGACCTTCTTTTATTTCCCTTCCCCAAGAGATGCAAGCAAATTCTGGGGTTGGGTTTCTCTGTTTTAGATCTCTGTTTGAGAGACAGAAGTGTAGGCAGTAGAATACCATAGAAATGCCTGTGTGTATCACAGGAATTTAAGCAGTTTGCTTTTATGGTATGAAAAAACCATTACGTTTTGTTTTTGACAAAAGTAGACTGCAATGAATTTTTTTTCTTGAGTCAGGAGTGACTTGAGAAACTTCAAGATGGTCCTGGTGTGAGAAAATTGGCTGTCTGCAAGGATGTTGCCCAGGAGATGCCCGGATGTTTTGATGTTTTTTTTACCATGTGGAGGCTTCTCTTATATCCCCTCATGGGGAGCTGGAGCTGACAGAGGAAGCTCATCTGTGCTCTCCTAGATTCTAACCTCTGACCTGTCATTCTTCAGTCCAGCCGACACAAGGGTTTAACTCATTGAACAACCGGGGGCTCCTGTCATGGATGAAAGTCCACATTCTTAAAATAAGCTAGTTTTAAAATCTTTAAGAAGCACTTTCATATCTTCTTACTAATACAAGTATGTGTCTAATCTCCTTCGCTGAATGTAGTGCTTGTATGTGAGGTGCTGCTTAGCTCTGGCTAACTTGCATTCGCTTGATCTGTTCTTTTTCATTAAATGTAACTATTGCAAAGACCTAAATCCTACTGGTTGGGTCATGTGATGCTATGCCCGCTTCCAGTAAAGGCATACAAGATGTCCTTAGACATCTTCCTAATGCTGAGAAACAAGTTCCTCATGTTGTGGTGACCCCCAACC